TTAACGAGGATCGCATGAGTATGGGTACTACATAGTATGTCATCATCGCGACCGCTTGTGTACGCTTGCATTGTGAATCGATATGAGTTAGCACTGCGTCCGCGCGGTTTTATACTAAGTCTCGCGCGCGACGCCTATCCGATTTCCGCATCGGAAAGTTATGGGATGGCTACTAAAGGACTAGGAGTGTTGTTGTGTTGTTTGTTCAAGTGTCGTTCTGAGTATATAAACGTGCGTATGTGTGCGTGTTTTTATTTGTATGTTCTTTATAGTGGTGTGCGCGTGGCGTGTGGGATGCGTCCTAGTCGACCGGCGACGAGTCGCGCTTGGGACCTCAGCCCCCCAAGATGTCAGTTCGCGTACGGGTCCGATAGAGGCGTAATACCGCGCGTACCCCCTATGCTACAACGAACGAGAAACGCCCTCAGCTGGTCCGCGCATACCCCCTATGCTACAGCGAACGAGAAACGTCCTCGGCTGGTCCACCTCTGCGATTGCAGCTGATTAGCTTTTGTATTGTGGACTGGTAGCTCGACGGGGATACGCCCACCGAAGGGAGGTGACAGCTCCCGCAAGGTGGAGGTAAGTCGTGCCTCGTGTAGGCCCTATCCTATCGTAGGGGCTCGCAAGAGGTATGGCTGGCGCACTCGGCCGGAGCGGCTTGCGGAAGCTCCATTATGTATTTGCGATGAAGGAATTAAAACCAACTCCTGCGTGACGTGGCCGGGAGGGTCCCGCACTGCCCTGTGTGGTGCCGAACCTATGCGCTCGACAACGGGAGCCCGAAGGTCGAAAGGCTGTGCTGGTTCATCGGGGCGATGCAAAAGGAAGGAGCTCTAGGATAAAGGCCTCGTGAACTCCATGAACTCCCGTGTCGTGAACTCCGTGAACTCCATGACCGGTCTCCCTCCACAGACCCCGTGAACGGTCAACGGGGGTACGGCACTGCCGCCAGCAGCTGAGAAAATTGGAAACGTTTGCTGCCACAGCGTTGTGGGAGCGACGGCAAAAGAATTTGAGGCATTTCTTAAAAGCTCTTGACCCATACCCTTTCCCCAAAAAGAAGGCGGATTTCTATGAATGTTTTTCTATACAACCACGCAATGTACATTTCCCCTTTCTACAGCAACATTCATTACTGTCCATGTCAATGTCCCAAGCTTCCCGCTACTGCAATCGTAAAAGCTCCTGGAGTCGAAAAGTAGTTGGGTCTCATTTCTCTCTTACGGTCGTTTCTTTTATACTTTATTGAGCGTAAGTACTGTGGGATGAGGCCCTCAGGCGCATTTTTGCTTCCTGATCATACGGATTCATACCGATCCAACTGGGCATCAACTTCCTGTATTCCCACAGCGCCTGTTCCCGTATAACAACGAAAGGCCACGTGTATGCGAGATACGAGAAGCCGTCGCAAAGATCGAAGGACGTTATTATTTCCCTTCTGAAACGAGGTGCTCGATGTTCATGGGTGTTGGTTTGTGATCATTGATGCTCATTTTCGGGCTCGTTCCTTATTATTGCCCTCCAACGAGTTGATTATTATCGCGTGGACGACGGTGGCACCCCACTGCAGCGATTGTCACCGCACCGAGCATTGTCGGAAAAGGGGTTTCCCCTGCCGGACACGGAGCGAGGACAAAAGCGACAAGGCTACGGCCTTCCACTTCGGATTCTGAACTCTGCAGCAAGCGGCTACAGGACTTAATTCAAAAACGAGATCCGACGTGCATACCCCCGCCTCGTTTCCTGACCTCAGGTCTGCAATTCGGGCGAATATATGCAGAACCATCCAAGCATACTGGCACAGCAAGGTATATCGGGGTGAGCAGAGTGACAAGGGCTGGTTTGGAAGCACCTGGTGTATCAAGGGAGATTGGTAATCGAAACATGACTATGGCCTGACACTCAGGCTGAAGCCGCTCAGAGATGATGAGATACAATTACATTTGAAATGAAATCTGAGTTAAAAAAAAAAAAAAAAAAACGTGCCCAGGGCGTCAGGTCAAAGGCCGGCCCTGGTTCCTCAAGACATGGGCTATAGACAACAAGCAGGCCAGTTCCTCCGTGAGAGTAGAAGGATTGACAACTTCGATGGTGTGATATCGAAGTGATGCGGGGAGGAGATGTTAGCGCCATGATATTAAAGCTCTTGACATGTGCTCCTCCATCTTTTATCGATTGTGTTTTCATTTTCTCATTTCTCAAAGTTACTCCGGATGGAGGAGCACATGTCGGATGGTAAGGGCCGGGGGCAAGGTCCCGCTTGCGCAAATTAGGAGATTTGGGCCGTTGATCTTTGCTATCTAGGGTCAGTATCTCTTAATTCGTGCAAGTGGGACCTAGCCCCGGGTTAGGATGATCCTGTGTTAGGCTCTCGAGATTATTTGATGTTGGATATTCTACTTTAGAAATTGATACAGTGAATTAGTAATATTTCAATTACAGAAGTGGGAAGCAGCCATGTCTTCTTCCCCCGAATACAACGTACGGTCATTATGACTGCATTTAGACTGAAAGATGGGCCAAATACAGCTATAATGTCCGAACGTTGCATTCGGGGGAAATACAGTCGTAATGACCGTACGTTGGGTTGCCTTTTACTGAGCTTCAAGTGAATATTTTTGGTAAATTTCTTGTAGATAAACAGAGAGAGCATGGTACGCTACTTCTGGTTCCCAGTTTTTCAGCCGAAGCTGGGTGAAGAAAACGAACTCCATTTGGAGGGTACTCTTGTCACTCTCAGGATGGTGATCTTGCAATTTTGTTTTCCAACTAATCTACATATTCATTTCTCAATCTTCTTTGTACATAATTCAGATGATTGTGAAAATCAGCAACGAGTACAGGAACAAAAAAAAAGAGTACAGCACACTATGCGGCGACTGTGATAAGGAGCTGCGTTCGCATTCGGTAGAACTTACAGGGAAAAACATTTCGAAAGAGCACCGCCGAGTAATACACGCACTGAACCTGTCAGAAGACACAGCGCTTGCCATCCGGCGACTCGCATTTCTGTTTAGTTGGTCAAACGCACCTTCAGGTGCAATCTAACAAGCCGGACAGAGCAATGCCCATACGCGGACTTTCGCGGAAAAGCGTTTCAAAGAGCTGCGAAAATACAGGCACCAAACCTGTCAGAAGGGACGGCACTTCCCACCAGACGGGCACTCGCAGTTCCGCTGCCTTGGTCGAACACACCTTCAGATGCATTCTATCCGGGCTGGCAGTACTCTGCACAACCTTCTTATGCGGCTGGTTGAGTACTGAAGGGATCGCCGGCATGGCCGTTTAACCCCAAAACGTTTATGATTTACTCCCCCCACTTTGAAGGACAAGCGGGCCGCACTATACTGCTGCAATTCGACAGTTGGTTATGAAAAGGACTTGGTTTAGGCCCTAACACTAACTATTATCGTCCAGGATTTCAACTCTTAATCCGTTTCTCAACGATCATATATGCAAGTAACGTTCACACAACAAGCACGCACCTCGATCGAGTCGCAAGGACACCCGGAAACCCCAGACATTGGGCTACGCTCCACTACTCTCCACATGCACAAAAGACAAAATACGTTGGGGTATATTTCCATGTTCTAGCGGAAGATTCGTTCCCAATGTGCACATTTGGAGAGCAGTGGAGCGAGGCCCATTGTCAGCCAAAGAAGTGTGTATCGCGAAATATCTTGCCGACTGAAAAAAGAACAAAAGTACAAAAGCCAGAACAAAGAACGGCCAAGAAATGCCAAAGAACATGCAGAGAAGCCGCCAACAAGACGTCGATCAAAATCGGAAACACAACGAGAGAGAGAGAGAGAGAGAGAGGGATCCTGACACAGAGAGAGCGATGTGACAATAAGGGTGAAGACGCAAGCGGAACGGAGGATACCAAGCAAAATGTCCATAAAGAGAGAGAGAGAGAGAGAGAGAGAGAGGTGAAGCAGAGACAGAGAGACAGAAGTGATAATAAGAGTGAAAATGCAAGCCAAACGAAAGATACCAAGCAAAATGTCCTAAGTAAAGGGCTCCAGGGACACACGAGGCAACGGACTCTCAGCTATCTATCATCACCACACAATAGAGTATGGGAATAACGTACCTATGGGACCTGTAGAGATATGGCTAGTCCTAGCGCAGGAAGTAGCCATGTGGCAAGGCTCATATGTCTATTCTTCGATCAGGACTGAATACAGTAAGTAATACAGTCAGTAGACCTCTACTTAGTCCGGTATCCACGACCACTGTCCGGTCAGGTCACCTCCGTCTGTAATAGACTGTAAGGCGATGGTCCTTAGTGGATAAGGTAAGGCCGTGGGAGTACAGGTGCGCCGGGGGGAAACTACGAAAGTGGTAAGTTGGAAGGGAAGTTTTATAGGAATACGGCATGGCCAAGTGCCGAAGGCACCGCTCACATCTCTAGAAATCCAACCTCTACAGGAAAAGAAAAGGGAGAAAAAAAAAAGAAATAAGAATCAGAACAGCAGAAAGAGATGTCAGCTGGAAAAGAGCCCAACAAAACAAAATGAGATGGGGAAGGAAGATGAGCAGAAAAAGATGAGAAAGGGCATACACGCGCCGTGGATACCAATAGCCAGAAACGAGCATTTATGACAAGCCAGTACGACATGCATGGTGAGAAAGACCATCCCAGACAGGGACAACATAGTCAACGACAAGCAATCCCGATCGACGAAGATTCAAGACACAGCAAAGAGACCACCCAACAACGAGACTAATAACACCACCGAGCAACGAACACGACCGATCTGAAGACCAAGATACTGTAAACAGACGCACTTCTACTGTCACGCAGACCAAAAAAAAAAAAAAAAAAACACGTTCGGCGAAACGAATGACGAAAGAAAAGGAATACCGACGAATGGAACCAGCAGAAGCAATTGGACACCAAGAAATCGAAAACCACATCCGGAGGAGAGCGAAAGGGGCAGCTTGTAGCCTCCCTTCATTTTTGGTTTCTTACCTCGTCTTCAGGGGGGAATGTCAACGGTGAGAAAACTTTATTATTGATTGCGAAAATAGATACTTATCCACAAGCAGCACAATCGCTGATCAGAACTACGCTCCAAGGTTCACTCCCACACCCCATCCAATGGGGCACCCAGCGAGCAACACTGCCCAAAAAATTAAGGACACAGTGTGTAAAACAAAGTCAGTGTGTCGCTTCCTCGCTGTTGCCTGCGACGAACCAGGCTATTGCCGTCACCAGAGAGTGATTGAAATACACACTACAACACTAAACACTGCGCGCCGTACAGATGAAGAAAGAAACGAGCCAAAGAGATGACAGTGGTGCGGACGGGAATGCGAACGAATGGACAAAATTTCACCTTGAGCCACGACGTACATATCGCAAAGAGTGCGTTAAGCGGCGAGGAGCTCAAAACCGTAACGTATCCTTGTTTCTTACTCTGTGAACGACGAGAAACAGTGTGCAAACGAATGCTCTGCTGTCTCTCTGCACTCTCTCTCGAAGCTACCGAAAGTGGACTAATCAAATCTAGCAGACACGATAACGAGGGATTGCTTCAACCATAGTTGTTGATTCTCTTTTCTGAGCTTGCGACGTGTCAACGTGTCACTCTCGAGTGGATCGCATCCATTAAGACCGCTGAAAGTACACAAACTAATTCTCCCAAACAGAGTTTCTCCTCACGACAGTTTTGACTTCCAGATGTATCGCAACTCCCTCTAGACGTGTCACTTCGTCGTTGTTCATTCAACTCCAGGTGCAAGATATTGTCATAGGCTCGTCCGCTGCATTCATCTCAATGCAATCATCAGTACAAATCTTCCTTCCTGATCGTCAACGGTTTGACCTGTCCTTGCCGCCAAGAAGAACAACACCCACCCACCCACCCACAGACTCAGCCGCTCAGACACTCGATTAGTAAAACGCACAAGGATAGGGATTGGACGAATCCGAAAGAAAAGCATCATCTCTCTCAACTAAACAACAATATAGAAATCGGTCAAAGTCGACAGGAGCCCCCCGCCTTACCGTTCCCTACTCTACAACCCTCTCGATGCGCAAGAGGGGGCAATGGAGCGAGTGGGAAACCAATGTCTGACGTGAAGACCCCTCTCCAGCTTAACTTCCAGTTGATGTACAGGTTCTTTGGTTCACACAGCCAATATAACCAACTGCGAAGTGAACCCGTTCCAACCCTAGATAGCGAAAAGCGTCGACCTGCAATCGGCGCCGCAATCCGAACACAAACGAAACTCCTCTGAACTCACCAATCAATCAATCACTCATGAGACAGGGCCGCATTCAACCTCCTCCCCTAGTTCAAGCAGCATTGCATTTCTTGACAAAGTTCAACGTCCTAGCACACTTCCAAAGTGGAACACGTAGTGCTCATCCAAATTAGCGATCCTTCGCCCAATCATACCTCTTATCTCAAGCAGCTCCGCATTTCATCACAAACATTCAAATTAACGTCCAAGCACTTCCCCCGTCAACGAGTGCCTCCGCATCAGGAATTCATCTTCCGCTCGACCGCTAGTACGTTCGATCGGCGCCTCCGCATTAGGAATCGATCTCGCAATCGATCGCTAATTAGTTCGATCGGTGCGTCCGCATTAGCAATCGATCTTCCAGTCAGCCGTTAATTAGTTCGATCGCTCGATCAAGCGTCAGGATGATTCGTATTGCTCTCCCACGAGCGATCTATATCATCTCGGTTATCTTGGTTAATCGCCACTCGTGCCACCAATCATTACGACCTTAGCCGAAGGTTATGCATTCGTCACCACCACCTGAATGATCGCTCCCAACCGAGGTTAACTGCCGTTGATTGTCCGATCTTACCAGAGAGAAGAAAAGGCTTGCGAAATAAAACATATATGTATATATTCAAGTCCGTTTCGCACCTCCTCGATATGAACGGTACCAACCGCAAAGGTTAATCACTAGATGCCGTCATTTACGCGACCTCGGTCAACCACCAGGCCGCCGTGTCTCAATACCTGGAACGAGGACGAGCCGCAAGGAAGGAGCCCATCACAGGCCCCCTGCAATCTTGATCGACTACCCGACCTCTGATGTAAGGATAGAGAGCATCCTCCGCCAACCATCAGGCTCTCTGCGCTCAAAAGTAGAAGCGATTACTGCTCAAGTCCCTCACTCCTGATCAATTGCCCGACCTCAGATCTAGGTGTAAGCATTAATGAATGATGAATTACCCCTCCGCTCTCCTCCAAAAACATTAAAACTGACAAGCAGGCGATAATCGTTCCGCACAGCCCAAGTCTCATGATGTTTCCAGCATTCGCGCACTCCAATTCAACATTATCACCATCATCTCAAACACCACCAGCACCATCGTCATCGTCATCGTCATCATCATCATCATCATCATCATCATGAGGAGAAGGGAGTTTCTCAAGTCAACTGAGAAACAATTCGCCAGACAAGAAAGACAAGAAAAGACAAAAGACAAAGGAATAAAGAACAAGCAATCGTGCCTGCCATCATAAGCACCACCATCATCAGGATCAGCATCATCATAGTCACCATGAAAACAGAGTTCCAAGTGAACTGAACATCAAAATTGTCATAAGAGAAAAGACAGAAAAAGCGTGCCCTCCATGACGAGAGCATATCGATACTGGAACAGAGAGGAGGGAATGAAAAAGGAGCATTGAAATGCCGTACCATACGGAGCAAGGAGTTAAGGCTCGCAAATCGAACCAGCATAACATCGATCGCCAGGGGCGAAAGCACCAAGGCGCCGTGTACGAGCCAATTTCAACCGAATTGAGGATGGAATGAACAAGTCGCAGTCAGATAAAAATCACTGTGACGACCAAAAGCTGAGCCGACGTAATGACACCTCAACGAGAAACGTCGATACCAAACGGCCGTAAGGTCAATATGTCTCACCCAACACGAGCGACCACCCAGATTTGGAAACGCGCACTCGATTGCAATCCCACTTGCGGTCCCACACTAACAGACTACAAATTAGGGAGTCCAAGGCGAGGCTGCTGACCTACAGAATTTCGTTTGCCGCCATCGTCACAAGCTACTGACAACGATGGGAGATTGAAACGTCCAATACATTTAAAAACGTCGTTGATAGAGTTCCACAACTATCAGTTTCGTCGTAATCATCATCATCGAGTGACGGAAGCGCGGAACTTCTTGAGACGCAGATTTCGGTCAACATCTTCGTCAACATCATCATCAAGACCATAATCGAGAACGTAACAAAGACAGTCCTCATCATCTTCAACACCGTCATCATCATTATTCCGTACATCATTAATTACCAGAAAGAAACAAATATAGAAACGAACACGTGGCGATGGAGTGACAGAATCTCGCACGCCACCAACACTACGAGCAAACAGATGCCAGTTGCTAACAGATCACATCTCAAAGGATACCATTCAATAAACATCACCGGCTCTATCCGCAAATCAGAATCACGATACGATCATTAGCGTGGCAACTGTGTATCCGTGACGGACAAAAGACCAGCCGAGGAAGATGGAAACGTCGGAGGAAAGAAAAAAGGAAAGAAACGAAAGAGAAAAGAAACATTACGCACCTGATCGACCGATCACTGTAGTGCGCAGGTCGAACGTGAATACTACATTCGCTGAGCAACACTAGTTCTCGATTATCCAGCTAGTTAAACAATGCACCAGCACGATGCAAAGTTGTTGAGCATGCCCAGAACGCCAAGATAGGAAACAAATTGATTATTGCGCGAAATGAATCCCAAAGGTCCCATCTTGATTAGCTGTGGTCGCTGAGCAGATCGAATCCGAAAGCGAAAAAGGTCAGCCCTTGGAACAAGAAGATGTAGAAGTGGATGCCCTTCTCGATCGCCAGACTCTGGATCGCCGCTAGCAAAAGGAATATGGACATGGCCAGCTCTCGCTTGAAGATCTTGATAGACTTCTTCTTCTTGGCCGCGACTGCCTCTCCGGGCTTGGCCAACGCTCCGACCTTCTGCGTGACGATCCACTCGTTCACTCGGCCGAACTGGAACAGGCCCTGGACGTTCGCGCTCAGTTTCGTCATGACCATAGTGTTCTCGAAGAAGAGGTACGGGAACATGTACGGAAACAGCGCCGGGCACAGGAGCATCCTGAAGAAGGACAAGAACATGGGGAACGTGTACGTGACCCAGATCGGGATGTTAGCTTCGGGGACGAATAGGGAGAGCGGGAGGAGGAGAACGAAAAGCATGAAATTCACCGTGGGCACGAGGAGACGCCTGACGAAGAAGAAGAGAACGATCAGATTGAACTTGCTCGCCAGCGTCAACGCCTTCGACGTCAAGATTCTCTTGAACAGCAGCCGGAACAGGTTCATCGGCCCAGCGTGCCATCTGTGCTGCTGGCGCGTGTACGCTTCCAGAGTCTGAGGCAGCTCGCAAGGCACGCGCACGTCGTTCAGGAAGACGAACTTCCAACCGTGGATGTGCGCTCTGACAGCGATGTCCATATCTTCGACGGTMGTCCTCACATCCCATCCTCCGCACTCGTTMACGGCTGCGATTCTCCAGATGCCGCCAGTTCCGTTGAAACCGAAAAAGCCCATCGTGGCTCCCATGACCTGCTGCTCCACCTGGAAGTGATAAGACATGTTGATGAACTGGAAGCGCGTCAGCAGRTTGCAGAATTGGTTGCTGTACTCCCAGCGCGTCTGAACGAGAGCGAGCTTCGGATCGTCCTTGAAATAYGGCACCGTCCTCARCAGCCARTCAGGTCKTGGCTGGAAATCGGCGTCAAACACAGCCACAAAGTCGCACTCCTTCACGTACGGCGCCTTCATGCCTTCCTTCAAAGACCCGCCCTTGTACCCCGTCCGATCGACTCTGTGGCGGTAGTCRATGTTAACGCCCTGGCTCTGCCATCTGCTCACCTCCTCCTTCACCATCTCCTTGATCTCTTCGTTATTCGAGTCGTCCAGCACCTGGATGACGAGTTTGTCACGCGGCCAATCGAGCTGCGAGCACGCTCCGATCGATATCTTGTAGCACTCCCGCTCGTTGAACATCGGGATCTGGATCATCACACGCGGGTAARTTGTCTCCGTCTTGCTCGTCGGGTTTTCCGGATCCGAAGAGCGCGGTTGCTTCATAGGAGCRACCACCGGAGGTCTCCAACCSGTGAACGAAAGGTAAAACGAGATGAGCGTCATCCCCAGCGTGTCCAGTGACTGCACGGCGAACACGATGATCAGCACGTTGATAACCGATTGCATTACCGGCGCCACGTAGGTTGCCCTGAACGAACGGAATGCTTCCGTAGCTGTCGCGAAAATTCCCGCCACTTGCGTCAGCGGAGCAGTCAGCAATTCGAGAAAGGCGTTCACGGCAGGGGACGTCGAATAACTCATAACGAACAGCATGGCGAAGACGAAGCAGATGCCCAGAGTCACCTTCTGGAAGCCGGGTCGCTTGGAACCAGCGGCAGACTTCAACCCCGGCCTTCCGGCCATAGACCGGTCGACGATCCATTGAACAACCCATCGGGGAAGATACCGTAAGAAGCGACCTCCAATCGGCTTCGTTGTGCGAGGCTTCTCACTCATGCGCATGGGGGGGAACTCTCCCACTCCGGCCCACTTTCCCTTCTCTTCACCCCCCATGATCGGCGCCTTGTTGTAGTATGCCATTGTCAAGCACAACTACAGCAGCAGCCTAGCCGTCAAGCTCCGTTCTGCTCCCGCACTCCCCCTTCCCTCCGGGTCACGAACGGGATAACAATGTGCTTCGCGGTCCCCTTCTCATCGCCCCAGAGAACGATTAACTACTAGGTGCTCGAAAATGAAGTTCCTGCAGCTCTCGCGGAACTCCGCATCTGCAAAAGAGGAGAGGAGGGTGGACGACGTCCCCTCCGCTTCCTACCCTGCTGGGATGGGACAACGATCAGCATAGAGAAACAGCGACACAAATAGGGCGTCGCTCGACCCTCCCGAGAGCGGCCGCGCCCGCTTCGCCGGACGTAGGCCAAGCCCAAAACTTGGTGAGCATTTCATTAGTTGCGCCTTTTCCTCGAGCATACCGAGGTGAGCGCTCGCCACGTCCCGCGAGACCGCCTGCAACAGCCTTCAAACTCGCCAAGATTGGGCGGGAAAAAAGTGGCGGGAAAGACAGTCAAGATTTCGACCAGGGGGGCTCAAACGTTTTAGGCCGCGGTGGGAGGGGTTGGCGGGACGATCTAGGCAGCTTCACTCCCGCCGAAAACTGCCCCTGGGCAACCTGAACAATGACTGCGCGCCAATGCACTGTCCTGCACCGTCGCGTGCAGACAGCGACGCTGTGGCGGCGACGAGACCCTGCCCGGCCCTCCCATCACCTACTGGCTTTGAACCCACGTCCTCACCGTACGTCAGTTCATATGGTAACGGGCGTATCTTGCCAATTTCTTCGGACAGGTGAGCTCTGGTTTTCTTTCGTTTCGTGAGTGGTGTGGCGACTCGGAGTGAAGCTCGAATAGAAAACGGGCCTCGACATGGGAGGGAGGCGGGGAAAGGACAAAGAAAAATGTCAAAAAGGGAAAATCTATGGCTGTAGCTAAGAACCCCTCGTCGCTGGAAACCACAAGCCTCCGAGGATTACGGGACGCCATCCAGTGCTGTCGTTTTGTCTTGTTTTCCCGCCAATTATGATGGTTCCGTTTCATTCCTGGCGGACCAACGTCCCCCAAAATAAATGGGCCCGTGTAGTTTTCTGTGGGAAAAAGAAAAGGCAGCTCTTGGGGGACCAACGTCCCCCAAAATAAATGGGCCCGTGTGCCTTTCTGTGGGAAAAAGACAGAAAAGGCAAGCATTTGGGGGACCAACGTCCCCCAAAATAAATAAACCGGCCCGGGGGGTCTAGTCGCCGGGTGGGGTCTAGTATCTGCAGTAGGTTCAGGTAAGGGGTTCCTACTGACATTCGGATAGAACTGTCTGGTGGCTATATAAGGCTTAGACCCTAGGGTGAGGGTAGGGATATAAGTGGCTCAGGCCAGTCCGAGTTCCGCCTGGGCTTGGGTAAGCTAGGGGAAGGACGGTAAGACTGGTTCAGTGGGTGCTACCCTGTCTGAACCTAGGGTCCAGAGTCTCTTGGGCCCTGTAGTAGATTGTCTGGGCCTGGCGTCCGAAGTTCCCGTTCTACAAGTCCGATTCCGCTTACACCAGGGCTGGGCAACCTATCAGCCCTGGTGCCTATCACTGCGGTTCGGTCCAAGTTGCCTGCCCATTGGTAGGGTAATGGTCCTGAGTGCTGGTCTCACTGAGGTAGGATAGTGGGATAGGGGGTGCGCTAGGAGTATTGAGGTGAGGATGGGATGGGAGGTGGTCTCATATTCCAGGACACCCACGGCCCACAGTTCCAGGTGATCACTGTGCACTTAGTGACTGGCCTCTACAACACCATGGACTTCAATAAAAAAACACAAAATAAATGGGCCCGTGTGGTTTTGTGCGGGAAAAGAGAAACGGCAGCTTTCGTGTCTTGTCGACGTCAGAGGGGGTTGTGACAAACCAATTTCTGCTCCGCGCGATTTTCTGCGCGATGGCAATGAGGGGTCTTAAGATGGGAAGGTTGGGCCAATTACGGGAGATCGGGATCGAAGGGAAATTGCATCGGTGTCATCGCTTCTTCGTCTTTTCTTTTTCGTCGCTTCTTTTCGGATGGCTGGGTTCAGGGCCGGACAAGTCCCGAGATGGCCGATTGAGTGGCTGTCGCGCCGATAAAGGCGTGAATAATAATGTTTGACGTCGCTTCCTTCTTGTTCTGTTGTCGGATTTTAGGCACGGAGGTCGCGCGGGAAGTTTTGCTCCCTTTTTTAATTTATTTTTCGAATCTTGTCGAGCCCTTGACGGCTCTCGGAACTTCAAATTTTCTTTTCGGAATTCGTGCTTCTTTGTGCATTAGCCAGGAATTTAGGAGTTTAGGAATTTCGGAATTTAGGAATTTGGGATTTCTTTTGCCGCGCAACGGCTTCTGCTTGCGCGCTCCTTTTTGCGGCTGCAACGGAGCTCTGATTAGTCGGCGCCCTTAATCTTGCAAGTAACTGTAATTTTGCTCGGGTGCCATTGTAACTGTATCTTTCTTTTTGAGCTTCGTCTTTCCCGCCCTCTCTTTCCCTTTTGCTGTGCCTAGTTAGCCCGCGGCCTGCATGCTCGGATCGATGCGTGGAGAGTGGCTACGTCCCCCACGCCGCGGTCTGGCCATGCAGAACGTAGGCGCTCCCTCTCCTAATCTCCTTTCTAAGTCCTTGCAATTCTGTATTCTTCGTGCATGCATGCACGCTATAAATTTCGGCTGCGCGAATAGATAGCTCTCTTAACCAGTGGTTGGAAGCTCGGGGTAGCGCGATCAGTGAGGGTCAGCTCACAAGCGAAGTAAGAGGTGAGTTGAAGTGGGAGTCGGGCGACCCGACGAACTGGTGCTGAATGCGCGGGGTTGACGGGTGGGGCTACGGCGGACTGTAGCGCGCGGGCGAACCTGACGGGTACAGGAGGACTAAGCGGGGTGACGACTTCGTGGGTTGGTGCGTGACGACGGACTGTCCGCATCGGAGAGAGAGAGAGAAAAAGAGAGCTGAGTTTGATGGACGTGGATTTGCCATTTTCTTTGTCTTGTTTCTCTTTTTACTTTTGTATATAAATTTTGATATCGGCTCAGAGCAACTTGCCCGTTTTTTTTTGTTTTCGGAATCTTTGTCTCGATTTCAGCCCACACTTGTTTTGCGATTGATCTTGATCTCAACTCTTGTGTGTTTTGTCGAATGAATGGATGAATGAATGACACGATTGTCGTTTCTTATGTCTGACCATCATCATTGTTTGCCATTTTGATACGCTGTTAGCAGAATACGAGTTCTGATGTTGTTGCGATGTCTGATGTATAACGACACCTTGCATGCTCGGGAATGATTGCTCGCGTATCACTGAGTGATTAGATGATTGGGTAGTTGTCCATGACACGTGGCGATTTTGCATAAGGAATTAGACTCTCATTTTTCCAGAAACAAGCAAATACCTCGCGGGGATACGTGTAAACGCGATATGATCTGCGCAGCCTACACGTATCCACGCGCGCCGATTCGCGACCACTGACGAATCTGACACCTCCGGTATCGGATAGGCGGGAATTTTCCTTCCTTCACGCACGTAAACGGATAGGAATTCCCGATATCGCATCGAGAAATCCCCTTGCAAGTCACGGTTAGATGCATGTGAAAGGCTTCCACTACGCCGTAATGACAAGTTGTCGGACTCATGGGACTCAGAGTACTTTGAACCTTGGGTAAGAGAAGAACTCAGGCAGAGACGTCCGGAGTTTCCCTGCCTAACCGAGAACCGATTGTGCCCCAAGGAGTTTCGACGTGCCGTAACCAGCGACTCGATGTGCCCCGATTACCCAACTACGTATAACATGCAATACTCCATATCCCCCAGCTTTGTCGTTATCACTACCAACTTCCCTCCCTCCCGTCCTCTCCTCCCGTATCACCAGCTCACTTTGGTACCGTGGAATTCCATCGCCCTGTATTGGCCCCGCACGTTGTGCAGAAACTGCAGACGACACAGCCACCACCGAACCCCGGGGACTACGGAGCGTAACTATAACACACGGCGACAGACGCCACGTGTCTGCCCCCGAAGATCCGACTTCTAAGAACCGTAACCCTCACGAGCCTCTTCCGAACCACCGTCACCAAAACAGACGGCCTCTGATGCACCGCGCAAGCCATCTGCCTTAAGCTGCACGACATCGACCGCCATCAGACCGAAAGTAACCCGCCCGTTAGTCCTATTGCATCTATGCCCCTAAATCCTTGCCACATGAGATCTCAGTTCTGACCTGAGACTCCACCCCCACTTTCCCAAAAAATCCTTGGCACACCCCGGGCCCTTTTCGCACTTCCAGGCCCACATCCCACTCCGATCAGGAAGTCTCGTCGGGCGTGAGGTTGGTATCGGAGCCTGACATGTGGCAGGGCTCTATGACTCATCGACGCGATCCTGTCGTCACCCGAAGCCGGTCTGGGGCCCGACGGGCGGTCAACATGAACGCTAATCAGCAGAACCCCCAGCAGAATCCTAATCAACCCGTACCACGAGCACGGACAACCATGACGCCACCCGATCTTTATCTATTCGACCCTGCTCATCACCTTGTTGGAGCATGGTTGGCCGCGCTCCGAGCTCAACAGTATGATGACAATGAGGCATAGGTAAATATCCCCGCTCGATTGGGAGGAGACGACCATCATTGGTTTAGTACCTAGGTATGGGTTGATCTCCCGACATTCGAGCGAGATTTCTTGAATCGCTTCGATTACATCCACCAGGAACAGACTCTTTTTATGATTAAAGATCAAGTTCAAAAACCCCTCGAATCTGTCACCGAGTATCGAAATCGATTCTATAGGATGTTTGTGAAAACGGAACGAGGCGAACAAGTAGGCAGAGACTTGTTCATCGACGGACTTCGCAGCCGAACGATGAGGGCGAAACTGCAAAAACAGTTCTCCCCCATCAACCACACGCTGCAACAGATCATGGCAACCGCAGAGGAAATGGAACGAAAGTTTGCTGCGAGTTTCCTAGAAGGGGAAGACTATCCTAGGGAAGGAGACTCGTCCGAACTAGCGAGAGCTAAAGCTGAGTTGGCTGTATTACAGAACAAATTTGAAAACATGAGGTTTGTGTCGGGCCCTGTCACCTATCTGGAACAGATTAGTCCCAAACGACCGGTCCCGGGTGTGATTACGAGCATGCCCGTGCCTGTGATGACATCACCCCCGCCTCCGATCGAAACCCCCGCACGAGAGAACGAGTCTTCCGCCCTATTGGAACTAAACAAAACACTGGTCAATCGGATTCAGGAAAGCCAAAAGGAACAGCAGGAGCACAACGCTCGAATAGAGATAATGATGAGGTCGATGCGACCAATAGTGATGCGTGCCGCCCCGATTCAACACGGATTGGCTCCGACCCCCCCTGGCGCAGGGATCCCTGACAATCTGAATGTCTGTTACACATGTCATCAGCCAGGGCACATAGCCCGAGATTGCCCCCATCTACCCCCACAGCAACGGGGCGGAGCCGCACCACTAGCAGCGGCCCCGATCGCCAACGGACCTAGACAAGTAGGGGCATTGATGGAAGAAATGAAAGGAGGCGGAAGTACATTAGCTAAGATGGAGGAAGCTGCTGAACTAATCCCGTTGGATCAGTATGTAACACTTGGTTACCCGGGGCTTGGGATGATTGGAACCATTAGACCGGCGCAAGAACAAAGGGAGGTGGTGGAGTGGCGACCTTCTTCAGGGGAAATGGAGTCGGGAGGACCCACCTTCGTCACGGGGGAAATCGATGTTCTCAACATCGTCCGAGCCTTGGATCATCAGATTCCTCTTCCGATTGGTCATCTACTTTCGATATCGAAACAAGCCAACAAACGAATGATGCAACAATGCAAAGCGAATCGGAAACGATTCACCCTTGCACGAACAGCGAGCACAAAAGCGAAAAATCCCACGCTAGATGAAAATGCAGTAGGTACTTCAGACCCGATACGGTTAGGATTGATTCAAAAAGATAATCATTTCCTACGGATTAAACCAATACCATGGAAATCCGCAAAATGCGATATCGAGGTATGGGGAATCCCGTACAATGTTATCATTGATTTCGGGGCCGTTGTTCTAGCTATCTCGTTACGGGTGGTTGAAAGGGCAGGAAGAAAGAACGATTTAATCATGCTTACGGAAAAAGAATAACTCGTTTCCGCAGATGAAGAGAAGATTAAAACGGTGGGACGGATGACCAATGTTGCTTTTCGATTAGGGAAAGTACATGCTTTGGGAGATGTCATAGTTTTGGACGTAAATACTTACGACGTCCTTTTTGGCCTTCCCGCTCTTGTGGCCTTGCGAGCCAATCTGGACTTCGAAAGGCGATCCGTCCTTAAAACAAGAGGAAAGCCCTATGTTGTACCTATGCAACTGACCCTTCGAACCATGGCTAAAGTAACCCCGCGAGTTTCTCCCATGATGGCGGAAACTCTCCTCGTGATTACCTGGGATAACTCTGCTGATGGTGAACAATCTCTGAAGGACATGGACAGCAGTGACGAGGACGATCCAGTAATTCTGGAAATAGTACAACAACGTATCTATTACCCTGCGCAACGAGCAAACACAAGATCGCTAAGCCTGACTGATCAGAGTCTACGAAGAACGCAAGCCATGATTATGGGTGAACCCCTCGTGCAGATTTCGAGGATGGTCGATTCTTTGGAACCCCCTCGAACCCTGTACAAAGGTATCTCCCCTTTGCTCACCCGATATAATGGCAAAAGGCACTACTGCGACATCACGAAATTCCCACGATCTCTTTTGACACCTGCAAAAGAGATACGACTGACACGTTTAGGGGCGGAGACTAATTCTTTGGAACCCCTTGAGCGCCTCGAAACCAGACTCGGAATTAAAATTGCAACGAAACCAGTGTCATGGCAGGACATTCGAGACGGAATAACACCGAAAGAACACGTGGTCATTTGAGAACAGGATGCACAGATGATGGTCACAGTATTCTCTTGGCGATCGGATAATTTATTTATTTTCGCGCCCGCGCCCGAAAACACTAAGCGGGTGAGTACGAAACACATCGATGTACGAATATGGGATGAGTTGTACGAGTTGCACGTGCACCAATACGTACCGGATGAGATCCATCATCTAATCGCGAAAATTTTTAAAGAATACAAAGGAGCGATTAGTCTGACGGACACAGACATTGGACTGTCGTCAGTCATAGAGCACGGGATTCAAACTGGAAACCATCCCCCGATCTACTGTAAGCCTTACAGATACTCCCTAGTAGAACAGAAAACGCCCCTTAAGCGGATTCGAGAGTTTGAAGCGAATGGTTGGATCGAACCCGCCACTGGGCCATGGTCGTTCCCAGTAGTATTGGTGCCGAAAAAGAATGGATCGATTGGCATATGCATTGATTATCGCAAGTTGAATGACATCACGATCAAAGATGTGTACCCCCTTCCCAGGATTGATGATTTGCTGGATGCAATTGGATGTGCTAATTATTTCAGTAAATTTGATATTCGCCACGGTTTTCATCACATTCTGGTTAAGGAGGAAGATCGGCCGAAAACGACCTTTGTATTGTTTGAAGGCACGTGGCAGTGGGTTCAATGTCCGATGGGGATTCGCAACGCACCTGCCACATTTCAACGGGCTATGATCGTGACGTTTCATAACTTCGTCAACAAGACGCGGCTCACTCAGGGGATGATTAACTTTTTCGTTACCGTGTACATGGAGGACATCCTCGTCTACTTAGAGACCTTTCACGGGCATGCACAATACATTGAGCTTGAATGGACACTGGAAGCTCTGAGAGACGCCGGGTTCAAGATCGCGCTCGAGAAGAGCGAGTTTTTCCTTTCGGAAATCTCGTTCTTGGGTTACGTGGTGACACGTGGAGAACTGCGGCCAGATTCAAGGAAAGTCGCGGCGGTGAAAGATGCTTCCGTCCCCACGTCAGTGACGCAGGTTCAAGCTTTCCTGGGACTGACATCGTACTACCGTCGTTTTATCAAAGGCTTCGCTGCGATTGCGCGACCTCTAACGAATCTGTTGCGAAAGGACCAGCCCCTCAATTGGGACGCAGCGTGCGAACATGCCTTCGCCACCCTCAAAGGCGCTTTGGCGACGACACCTATTTTGATCCGGCCAGACCCCACGAAGCAGTTCATTCTTATCACGGACTGGCAGCCAGAGGCGATCTCCGCTACTCTAGCGCAGAAGGGGAACGACGACCGAGAGCACGTCATCGAGTACGCATCTCGTACGGTGCCAGACGAACGAAGGAACGATTCAACCTCGCAAGGTGAATGTTATGCCGTAGTCTGGGGAATCCATCACTTCCATCCATACTTGTACGGACAGAAGTTCCTCCTTGTAACTGATCACGAGCCATTGTTGGCTCTCAAGAAGCTTACTAATTACACGAGTATGATTGGACGGTGGGCGGTGCGCCTACAGGAATACGACTTCGACATCATCCATCGAAAGACAGAGAGACACGGTAACGCGGACGGGTTGACACGTCTGCATCGCCCGGCTAAGGTACCTAAGGGTGAAGAAATCATTCCGTGGAAGAAACCAAAGTCAGCCAACGGACCCAAGTACGGACAAGTGGTAGTCCTTCTACGTGGCAAGAAGCAGACGGTTGGCAATGGGTGACGGAGGTAATCCTACAACCCCGCTCTCTCCCCTCTCATCTTCATCTTTCCTCTCCCTACCCGACAAATTTTGTTATTTTTGTGAAGCGATCTCGCGCGTCTACTCGATCTCAATGCGTCATAGTGGGGAAGGATATGCAAACTGGATAGATTGTTGACAGTGTGTCGCACGAGCCCATGGCTCGTGCATCCAGTACAAAAATGGCGATAAGCCTTGGTTGTGTCCCTTATGTCGGACTGATAAGATCCCGACTGAGGCTCGATTTCTCGACGCCACGTCAGAAGGGTTGGAAAAGACCTGGAAGTTTAGAAGGGCCGAGGTATGGACGAATATCGCTCTAATAGCTACCTTGGTAGGTAACCCCCTCCAAGACTTCACTAAGGAGGATCGGAGGAGGGCCAACGAAAGGGCTACGAACTACTATCGCTGGAACGAGGGTCGGTTAGAAAAACGAAAGACGGATGGCAGTGAAATTTGGATGGTAGTGCCGCACCCGTTCATGAGGTATGACAGGGTTAAGACGACGCATGAGGAAACTGCAGCCCATTTTTTCGTACGGATCACCGAAGCCGCCATCGACAAGAAGGAATGGTATTGGTCCAATATTCACGATGATGTGAAATTCATCGTCGTGAACTGCCAGGTCTGCGCTGCTGACAAGGTGTCGATCCAGCCGCCAAGATCGATAGTACCGACGGTAGTTGAACGACCTTTTCAAAGGGTTAGCATGGATACTACCGATATTGTGGTGCCCCCTAGACCTAATAGCTGCGAGTATTCAATCCTACTGGTATTCGTAGACCACTTTTCGAAATGGATTGAGGCATACCCGTGTCGTAGACGACAAGCGGCTGAAATTGCGCGATACGTCAATCGGTTTCTAGGGATGCAACAGGACACAGAGGAAATCTTGACCGACAATGGGGTAGAATTCAGAGGGGAAGTTTTAAGGAATCTGGTCGTACATGGTGTCACCATTCGGAATACTGCACCCCACATGTCACAGTCTAACGGCATGGTAGAAAACGCGAAGTGGGTGATAAAAACCACGTTGCGACGAAACATCGCGGCATGAGATCCGAGGCCCTGGCCCGATATCGTAGATCACATCCTGGCGGTCCATCGGGGAACGCCTCACGAATCGACGGGCCTTAGCCCCTTGCAATTACGAACCAATAGCGTAGCTTGTGTCTCGATACCGAGCTTCCCCGATGAATCTTTATTGAACCAACGGCCCACAAGAGCCACGGTCCGGGATAAGGCCAAGCGGCACATGGAGCTGATGGAACGGTCCCTTCCCCGATTAGCCTGAAAGCGCCAGAAAATGACTGAGTTGGCTCACGGCCGACAGGTCCGTAGCTACGAGGCCCGAAATGGGAACGCGGCACCACGGCCCCAATATAAATTAGGGGACCTGGTGCAGGTAAGGAAATGTGCTCGTCAAGGGAAGATAGCGCCACGATTCGTCGGGCGATTTCGTGTAATCGAACTCAGCTTGAACGGGGTGAACACCGTGCGCCTCGTGCCGGAGGTCTCGGAAAACCGATCGGCTCGACCGATCGTCCGCCACGTGTCCTATCTACGTCTTCTCCCTCCCTCTTCATCTCCAGCTGTGTCCGCCTCCTCCTTCGCTACAGAGGAAGGCGACGATTCTTTATCGCTCTCCTCTCCTCCTGCATCTATCGCCTTTTCTCATACCCCGTCCCCGCCTCCATCGCCATGAGCTTTTCAGCGGAGCAGGTGATCAGTGCGCATCTGCTAACCCCGAGAGGGCAGATCAGTACCATCCGGTAAGTACAACGGCCACGCCTCAGTGCCGATCTTCTTCAGTTTGCAGCTTTCTTCAGCACGGCGGCAATCCACACAGCGGCGGAATTCCAGTTTTCGCAAGCGTCAACAACGCGTGTTCTGGCCGAGATTTCGGCCTTCCAGTGTCTGTCCCCTCTTGGCATCAGTCACATCACGGTCATCGTCGTCTTCATCGGGGATATTACGACGGTGCTATCGACGATCCATCCCGACATCCTCCGGACCTTGTGCTCGTGGGGTGAAGAGATTCATACTGTGTGGACAACACTCCTTGCTTGACGCGGGGATACGGCCTGCCCTCGCACGACATCGATCTGTAGCTTCGCTCTTCCAACGATTCACCGCTGATCGTGTTACCTAAACTTCGTCCCTTTGCGCCGCCCCGATGAGTCGCCGCAGCCTTTCTCTCTTTGGCCTTTGGAAAGGTGGATGACGGAAATCTCGCTCTAATTATGAGTGAACTGCTGGTATTTCTGGCGCAGCTAGTGGACGACCTGCCCCTGGATATCTTATCGCGGTGTGACAATCAGCCGGGCATCCGCGTGCTTTCCCGAACACTCGAGCCACGCCTGCTATGGTCCACGTGTACTCAGCTGGACGCCAACAACTGTGTCTATCCGTCCCAGGCTCTTTTTCTTGAGATCGACGTCACCGATCTCACAGTGTGGGACCCCGTCATCCGGCAAGGAAACGCGCGGCAAGAGGAACAAGAAGGCGAGGAAGAAGGCGAGGAAGAAGGCGAAGAAGAAGAAGAAGAAGAAGAATCGAGCGAAGATAGTGATGATCCTGATTACATTCAGGAAAAAGAAGAGGACAAGGAAGGAGAGGAGCCAGCAGGAGAAGAAGAGGCAGCAGGTGGGCCGAGTCAGCAGCCCGAGCGAAGTAGGAAAGAAGAAGAGGCAGGAGCACGAAAACAGTTAGAAAAGGCAGAGGGAAAACGGCCAGTAGAGGAAAGGTCCCCGCCGGATCTATCGTTGGGAAATCCGTAGCTCGATCCAGAGCCCCCGAAGGAAGACGAAGGAAACGATGGAGCCGCAGCGGAGGGATCGGGAAGACGTCGCCGAAGGAGCGAATCGCCGACTTCGTCTGGTTCCTCTGCCCCACCTGCCCTTCGCCTACGTCAGCATGAGGGCGATCGGGCTTCGTCCCTGTTTGTTCTCTCACCGTCCCCTTGACTTCCCGATGCTCACCCGACTCCCTGGTAGACCCCCGTTCCCCGTTGGATGGTGCCCCTTTCCTCCCGACCTCTTCCACCACCTTTATGCTACCCGCCTCCTAGTCACTGTCTTTCCGCATGTTACCACCCGCTCTGTAGTAAATTCTTTTATTCTCCATGTTCTCTTGTTTAGCGCAGATTGGCGGGAATATAACCATATAGAAATATATTGTATTCTATCAGGAACGATCCCCGCCTGCGAAAACTACGAGAATTTTCGCATTGCTCTTCGCTGCACTCTCTCCACTATCTACCCCGACTATATTGCCTCTCTCCTCCACCGTTGCGAGGAACCTCGTTTCCCCTGTATCCAATGCTCCATCCATTCCACCTCCCTTCCCGCTTTCGAATCTCCGGCAATCAATCGCTTCATGCCTCCTCTTCCCCAGCATCCTCCACCGCCTCCCCCATCGGTAATTAGATTACCATTCCCGGGAAACCTGTAGGATGGAACACTCCTCGCCCCAATCCCGACTAACCCACCCCCTCGCCATGCCCCCATGTATCGTCTTCCCTTTCCCCTTCCCTTAGGTCATTGATGTACGGTTGATTGGCACCAGAGGTGGCAACTGGGATTTTTTGGAATACCTGTACCTTACCTACCCATACCCTCTTTGAAAACTAACCACCCATACCCACTGTATAGATGGCCTATCGGACCTTTACCCATCCTTACCTACTCAAAAAAGAAAAAAGTGTACCAGTACCTGCCCTGCCTGGACCCCTTCAGACTGTAACTCCCCATAACTGCCCATGGACTTTCTGTTTTAAAACTACCCACGGCCACCTACACCCAAACCTTTTGTTAACCACCTGTACCGTACCCAACCATTTTGTTTTTTCAATCCTACCCACCCGTATCCACCCACAATTGTATGCACCCACTCATAACCATCCACACTTGTGACCCACCCTCCTCTAACCAACCCTAACTGTCCCCAACCGCCCCTAACTGCCACTAAATGTCCCCAACTGCCCCTAACCGCCACCCCT